GATACTTCACACATAGGGGATGGCCGAATGTATAGGATACAGGGAGCCAGATGGCCGAGCATTCATCACACCCAGATCCACCACCTGTGATGAATGTTCAGTCGGTCTCGACCCGCTCGCCTGACATGAAGCCATTAGCACACAAGCGGGCAGCTATAATCGATACTGCAATTCCCTGTGCATGCATTACCCGTTTCTGCTAATGTCTCTGATGAAGGATCCGCGATGGATCTTTAAACATTAGGCACGTTCTTTGCACATCTGCTTCTTTTTACTTACTTTCCTAATTCCTGCGTCAGACAGCCAAATGACTGAACAGCCATCACGCCCAATTCCAGCACGGGTGATGGAAGTTCAGCAGGTCACAACCCGCACGCCGGCCATCAAGCTGTTAGCACACAAGCGGGTAAATATCATCGATAGGGGGGAGCCGTTGAGTGCCATAGGTATGCAGTAGCATACTGACTGTACCCCACAAATACTACAACTCCCCGTGTATGACTTACCGCCTCTGATCTGAGAGTGTGGGCGGTAGATGCTTCGAAAGTCCGCTATCTATTTGCGAACCAGTTCACGTGCAAGTCGTGGGTCACAGCGACACCCCGCCGAACGTGTATACGGCTTGGCACAGCAGGAGACGCTACTCACGTGAGGAGAGGAAATGGGGTCATTTCCTTCACCAACTCCTCCATGTGAGCATGAGGAGGAGGACAAGGGAAGGGAAATGAGATCATCCCTTTCACCAACTCTGGCCAAGACAGTTTGCGATGTTGGTCAAGTGTGGTCTAACTGGTTACACACCGTTTGGGATTTCGCTGCCCTCTCCCCCCTGCCCTATTACGAAACCTTCCAAATAGCACAAGAGACGGCAAGTAGTCGTCGCTCCAAGTAGGACTTCAAACTGATTCGCTACATGGTGGGGTAGCGTCAACCGGCTGGTTCTCATTTGAACTCCGCTCTCAGCGGCCATTTCGGTACATGTTCAGGTGGCCGAGTTTGTGGGTACTCCAAAAATCCATAATTGCATGTAATCTTATAGATACAGTTTTACGCGTATATTGTTACATAGGCAATATCACATTTTTGATAGAAAAGCTTTTTAGGGAAACGTGAACGAACTTTTTGAACGCTGGCACACCAGGTCGTTGTCGGACGTCAGGGAAGTGTGTAAAGAACAGTGTGCATTTTTAAACATTCCGAAAAATAGACAATGAATCGTCATCCTTGATCAATAGGAAGCTTTGATGGTTGGCGCTTTTTCCTGGCTTTCTTGAAATTCATGTACATTGAATCCAAATCGGCGTGCCTATAAAAATTCTCGGCCTTTCCCATGTGGGGAGGAACCTACTATGCGGGTTTTGTCCTATTCAAACTTGTGCCCAGTTTCAAGCGAATGCGTGGCGACTTCAGACAGGTGGTCGCGCCTCTTTACCACTAATTGATGTTTATGTATGGGTGTCGAGGCGGACCTTCCTGTTTGTCCACAATAAATTGCATCGCAGTCGCCGCACGGAATTTGGTAAACGACCTCTTTCCTGTCCACATAGCGAACCCTATCATCACGTCCTCTTTGCATGTTACCGTTGCGATAACCTGCAATTTAGAGGCGGCGTATATCTGCTGTAACGCAAACTCTTTCACCTATTGACTGCTTGTATCCCTGCACACCATGCTGCTCGACCGCTTCTTAACTCGAAATGCTTTGCCAGCTACATACCCAGGCTGTTTTCTTGTTCAACAGCCAGTTTAATCAATATGCAAATGCTTTATTCGCCTGACTTTTTGGATTCCGTCAGAAATCTAACGCTCTAACCATTGAGCCAAAAACTTGATTCACTATTTGGGTTTGGTTATGGCTGGTTGCTCACGGTTAATAAGTCAAATCGCCAT